ACCCAGATGATGCTTTTGCAGGCAATGGATGCTTCACCTCCCCGAGACTCACTTTACACATAATTGTGTTCTTTACTGTATTCTAAACATACTTTTGCTTTACATGTGTTCTATTTTTATTTGTATTTATTTTTTACATTTTACATACAGCATATATTGATGCTTTTTTATGCAACAACCACCATTAATGTTTGGTCCAATAAATATTTTCTGTTTTTTTTTTCATGTCTTTGGTGTTTACAGTGTACCTGTTACTCCTCTCTGCAGATTACTGTCACTGTAGAACATTGTATTGAAAAGCCTAAAGAGCAAAGAGCTTAATATTTAGAACAACAGTGTTTACATGCTTTATCCAAACATATACCATTTTGTTTGCCATTAACAGTTTTTCTTAGTTGATACCCACAATTAATCATACTTCAGACACACTGACTACAACATATAACTGCTGCACCAACCCCCTGAAACAAATTCTGCTAAACTACAAGCACAATTCATGCTTTACACTCAAATTTCAGGTTTAAAACACATATTTTTCAACACTACACACAATTTTCTGCATTTGACACATTTTTCAAGCAGAAAAACACACTGTCAGTTGCCCTACTTCGCATACTAACTCATCATATAGGTAAACACCTGTCACACGTATTTGTAATTCAGAAATCAGAGTTAATCTGGTTCATAACTGATTCAATGCCCACCCACATTTTTTACTTGTTTATCTCCCTCCATATTCTCCATTTCTCAATCCTATTGAGGATTTTTTTTTCTGCCTGTGGATGAAAACTGTATGACCGAAATCCACACTTATTTTGTCTTTTTTTTTTACTGTAACTGTATTCTGTAAATACTTCTGCTCATGGCATATGTAGATCAAGTTATGTGCAACTTTGTGTTGGTTAGGGTGAACACTGTGTACACTGTTTTTGTGGGAAAAATACAGTAAAATCTATTTGTTACCGTGTATTTGTGTGCTTTGTATAAAAACAATATTCTGAAATATTTTACAATGCACTTATGTCTGCCTATGTACCGTCTGTAGTAAGTGTAACACTGAACAAAAAAAGGCTTACTGTAAGTCATTATGATAAATGGGGAAGAAGTGGTCATTATATTAAGTACATCCGTGATCAACTGGTTCTAATAAATGTCTATTTATGTGATGGTTTGTGTGTGTCATTTGAAAGCAAACTACGATTTTGAAAACAAATCACATTGTTTTGAATGTAAAGTTTCATTTTACAGGATAAATAAAGGTTTTCCCCAATGTGTGTGTGTTTTTGATTTGTGTGTAGAGTTCTGACAATATGAGACATGCTTTCAGAAAATGTAAATAATTAGGAAAACTGTAATGCAAGTGCTTCATTCTGATGTGAGTTTATAGCATTTTAAATAAAGTGTTACATTTTGAAGATGATAGTGTATGAGGCATTTTGTGTGTGCAGATTTGGGAAATGTGTGTAAAGTTTTTTTTTTTTTTTTTTTTAAAGGGTACACTGTTTTGAAAACATGTTTAAGCAGTTGAAAAAAAACTGTAAATGCATTTAGATAACAATTAAAGCAGCAAATTTTCATAGGATTCAATTAAAGCACCATTCTGATCAGTGGTGATCGACAAAATGATATTCTGAAAGTGCCAGCAAGTGACAGCAAATGATTGTATTACTAAATGAGTCATTAATTTAACCAATTCATTTGAATCAATGATTTGTTCAGTAAGATTTGCTGCTGAATGCATTTAATACAGACAGTCGTGAATGATATAAGATCATTGTACTCAATGCAACTGACATATAACGTTACTCGGCTTATTTAATGTTTGACAAATGTCTAATAATACTGCTAAAATTGTTTATTTTATTTTACATAAAATAATAATTATTAACCGGTAGAGCTTTTAGAGTTTGTTCAGTAAGGAGTGTTTTGATTGGTGGATTAAAAACTCACAGCGATTGGCTAAACAGAATATCCTCCAAAAAAGATAAGTACCAATCATGTCCTTCCAGGAAGGTCTCAAAAATACTGCACTCAAATTCAAAGTACTTCATGCTCGAGTGAGCATTTTCAAAGCACATTTGGTGGTTCATAAGCACATCTAACCTAACTCATAAATGAGTGAGGCAAGTAATCCAAGAACTTCATATATACATAATTGTGTAAACATTTTAAATGTATTTATGTAAGATGCATATGTGTGAGCATTTGGGAAATATTTTTGCTTTTTACTTATGAATTGATGAATTGTGTTTTAAATTCATGAATTTAATTGTGTTGTGCATTTATTAAATTTATAAATGCAAATGCATTATTATTGAGACTGATCTGGCTCCATAGGATTGTACCAAATGATTCATTTAATATTAGTACATAGTACACTTAATTTAATATGTGGTAGAATAAAAAAATATAGACTTTAAAATGCTTTCTCTAAAGTGTTCCTTTCTATGCAAACTCTATGATGGTGCTCTGGGTTTGTGTGCAATAACTTGCAGATTAATTTTGAGATTTGCTTGTAACTTGAGCATGTTGTCATATCCTGAGTGTGTGCTAATGTGCACTATCACATTCCATCAGCCACCACCCTCTTGAAATCTACACCTATGATAACACACACCCTCTTTTTCCAACAGCCCACATCCCTCCACTTCAGATCTAACTGAGAGCGCTTTGACTCCACTCAGGTGGGCACTGCAGCTGTCTGTCTAATTGTTGGTAAAAGACACTATATAATGTCTCCGTGTATGGCACTTTTAACCACAGAAACTATTAATCATTTCAGGAACACTTCAGCCAATGAACAAACCCAAAGATTGCATGAACAAAAACTTGAAAGTTGATCATAAAAGTGTGGAATGTCATGAATCTGCTGAATTTAAAAGAGATCATTTATAACCATTTCAAAAGTGCACCCAGAAGCAAAATGATCATTCTGTGCAAGATCCTTGAGCTCCGCTGTCATATAATGACCAGGTTATCCAATTCCAATGATTTTCACTGACTAAAAAACTGTATGTCCATTATTTTCCACGTAAAGGGCATCCATTTTACCCCTTTTTCAAGATTTAAGATAAGAATTGAAAACACTTTGAAAACACTGTAGCTGTATTTGTTGCCTGTGCCTTTAATGCTAGTTCTCCCTGCCCACCAATGCCACGTGCCTGTCAGAGTGTACCTCAATCTCCACCTTGGCTGCGTCAGATAAACAGTACAGTGACAGACATGAAGGAAGCAGATCTCATGTAACATTTGTGAGAAATACTACAGTAAGAACTTTACCAATGGGTATTTGATGTATTTGTTGCTGAGGTAATAAGTCAGTGAAAACGATGAGTCACACACAATGTTGTTACAAAGTTCACGCACACAAACGCACACAGCGGACACACACACAGCATTCGCATTTAACTTTGCACTGTTTTTGCATGGCAGATGTGACAGGATACACGTTAATATCCACTGCTGTATGGATATCCATTATGTTAATGTACAAAATAAACCTGATTTAACGTCCACAAAACCAAGATAGAAGAATCTTCTTTTATAATTGTACTGACATGGGGCTGTGGTGATAAAGACGGTAAAATCGCTGTAATTTATTACAAACATGTACTGTTGTAAAAACATTTTAAACTTTGAATACTCATTCTTAAACACATTTGACGATGATTGATGATCACAGCCAGCTCAACAGATCTTTTGATCCCAGTTGCTTTGCGCACGTCCTGTCTTGTTGATATGATTATACGCATTACTATGAAGACATGTTTATACGTGGCTGTGAATCAATTCGGTGGGTGGGGAAACGGCACTCCTACGTCATGGTGCAGTGGGCCTCAAAATGGGAGGGATTTGGATCCTATTTTAACATCAGGAAATTGTAAAAAAGTGACTTACTGTCTTAAATTTACCCCAAAACTAGTGTGGACACACTATACCTACACACAGTTCTGCCCAAACAGCTTACAAAAGATGATTTTCATCATAGATGCTCTTTAGGATCAGCCATTGTGACTCAAAGGAGTCAAGACATCCGGTCTCATTTACTTCCAACCATTTTTAGCAAAACAAAAGAAAACAACTTATGTTTATATAAAAACTCATAATATATTTAATTGCCAATTGACAAGCAGAAATTAAATAAAATGGCATGGACAAAAAAGACAAACCATAACAATTATTGCAACGAAAAACAATGTGATAAGCAAAAATAAAATGATCAAAATTCATGGTTCCATGACTTGAAAAAAAAAAATTTATATATATATATATATATATATATATATATATAAATTCTCTGACTTTCAATGCCTGAATAAACCATTTAAAAATTGGTGATATTCCAGAAACACCATTACCCTAGGAAGCCTTGAATGACGTATGTCCAGACACAAACTCACAAGTAGGCTGAAGCTGTTCGTTTAAAAAGGAGAGTAAAAATGCTAGTATTGTATTAATCATCGGACTTTGACATACTTGTGGTTACTCTTTACTCTTTCTTTCTTGTATTTAGCACACATTTATATCCAGAGGGATATTTTTCAACAACATACTGCAGTTAAGGCTATGGAGCAAGACATAATTGAATGTCTTGCTCAAAAGCACATAACACAGGTTCTAAGCCAAAGGGACATCAGTGCAAGTCCAAACCCTCAGTCAGTGATCAGTAAATGATGAGAATCAGAGTTGGAAACTTCATGATTCTTCCTAAATAGGATGAATGGAAGCAGCAATGTTTGTGTTAGAAGACTAACCAAACTTAATCCACTCTTCAACACTATTAAATTCAACTAACTTTGTTGACATTCTTAGAATAATTGATTTCATGTGAGACCCACAGTCCTTTGGAAACAATATTAAACTCAAGTGTTTTTGAACTTATTTTTGAGGGTGATGAAGGGCTTTCTCTTGTCCAAGAAAGATTTTAGAATAGTTTTAGTGCAGAAATAAGGCCTGAGAAAATGCAAGCACATGCATGACACAAAATCGTCATAACTCACGTTTAGTGCAGCGCTGAGATCCTGGGGTCTTGCTCCAACCAACACAGCACTGCCCCCCACAGACGTTCACTCTGCAATGACATCAAAAGTCACAATCACACACAAACTGAATGGACCTACTAACCTTACTGTAACCCCCCGGTCAATCTCCTCGGCCACCCAGAGCGGTTTCTGACGTAAGTCTGCTGTCACTAGTGGCATGAGGGCCCGGGGCCAAAGCTGGTGGAGGCTCCAATATAATCAGTCCTCTTATTCCCACTGTACTACTTCATACTGTACTTCATAGTAAAGTGACAGAAAATATGAACAAATACAGGCTGGGATACACTTGTTACTCAGTGTGATTGTAGGGAATGTAAAAAAAAACTTTGTAAATGGCCTCCCGAAACTTTTTAAGGGGCATCGAGTTCATTACTAGGGGAGCCGGTAGCCTACATTTAAACTGGCTCGCGTGGCTTACTGAAACAACAGATGTTACTGTGCTTTTTAAAAGGTTACGACTCGCTGTAGACTGGATGACTTATCAAATTTATTGCTACTTAATGTCATGTGGCTGCTAACACATCATTGGCAATAAGGCTCCAAATCTCTAATGGAACAGTAAAATCATTAGTTGACTCTTTCTAAAAGTTTCAAAGCATGCATGACTTTTAAGAATATTACTGTGGTATCTTCAGTAAAGATAACTAAACTCACTATGAACTTTCTTATGATGTTGTGTTGCTGAGGTTAATTTTTGCATTTATTTCATTCAACCCTAAACTACCATCAGCCCAGTTTTCAACGAGTACAAGTCTAAAAAAAAAAAAAAAAACAATTATTCATAGTTTGAAAGTTTGTGTATTTGTTAAGTGACTGCAAAACAACTTTGCATAAAGCACTGATAATAGAAATCCCTGCTCATTCATTCTGTATTTGCATGTTTTGAACTGTTATTCGTGCCTATTATGGTCAATTATTTTGTCAAATAATCAAGATCGTTTGTTAAAATATATAATGAAGCTAAAACATCCTAAATGAAGTGTTAAATACTTTATACTCGGCTCTGTTCTTACCCTGACACTTTCATGTGATGGCTGGATGTGTGTCGGCCAGACTGCGCGTCCTGGCGGATCGGAATGCTCGGGTTCTGCTGGTGACCCATTCTGCGGGTCCGGACCTGGCCACCGAAGCTGGCTTTCAGCTCCACATTGTATGAGTGTGGCTGTCCCGACGCTCCCGAGAGCGATGAAATGGAGCTCACGTGAACCCCGTCCGTACCGCTCGGTCCCGGTTGCACAACGTACAGTTTCCTGAAGCCGCTCTGATCCGCCGAAAGAAAAGCCGGAGAAATTAATAACGTAACAGAAACAATGATGTCCCACACGAGCATAGCCATATCCTTTAGCAGTCAAAGTGTTGGGGAAGTTTGAAAGAAAGCCTCTGTACTATAAATATACACTATAGATAGAAAGATACCAAAATAAAACTATAGAAGCGCAGCTCCACTGTGTCGCGTGTGAAGCAGTTGTAAACCCTCGCGCGCTGTCATCTATTCGCCATAAGAAAACACTTAGAGGCAAACATAACTTAGAAGAGGGGGAAAATGCTTGGAGTTAAAGAAAGTTTCAAAGCACGAAACGGAAATCGGGGAAAACGGGAGTCAAGGCGGCGAGAGAGCTCGCGTGCGCGCGGTTTGAGCTCGAGCAGAAGTTTGAAAAGTCTTGGAAAACTTTGAGCGCGTGTGAGTGTGCAAGGGCAGGAGTTTGTGCTCGAACTCCATATAGCCAATCTCCTGCAGACATGACGTCAGGGATGGAGCTCTTATTGGAACACACATGTGGGGCTGAACCTTTATACCAGTCAAAAAAAAGTTTGTGTGTATAAATTGTGCATACTTATGAATTTGAAGGTGGGGGTCGTTTGTAAAAAAAAAAAAAAAAAAAAAAGTCTGATACTGTAAATGCAGCCATCATATGTCAAGCTTGTCACATAGAGTGCAAGCATCAGCTGCACACCTCTTTTTGGAGGAAAACGTGTTATATATAGTTCAGAATTGGACATGAACTTGAACATTTCCCAGAGATGGGTTGCGGCTGGAAGGGGATGTGCTACGTAAAAACTTGCTGTATAAGTTGGCAGTTCATTCTGCTGTGGCAACCCCGGATTAATAAAGGGACCAAGCTGGCCAGAAAATGAATGAATGAATGAATGAATGAATGAATGAATGAATGAATGAATGAACGAATTAACTTTAACAATATTAGTACAAAACTAAACAAAAATCCTATTACAATTTTACAGTGTGCATGAATGCAACCTATACTGTGATAACGGCAGCACTGTGATTAAGATGGAGCTCATGTAAACAGAAAACCACAATTATGCACATAATTAGTAAAAGCGTGATCACAGTATGCTTTAACCACATATATCCCACTCAAACCAAAATGTCAAGATGTGAAAGAGAAAAGACTACACTTTGGGCTCAGGAGTTATTAAAGTGATTGAAATCTAATGTACGGTAAAGTATTACACTTTTTATTTTGTTTGACTGCATCCCAGAACATTAAGGACAAATTGATGGTTAAAAATATAGGTGGAAAAAATATGTAATTTTTTATTCAATGTACTAAAGGCTAAAAAGAATTTGAATGGGCTTTGCATGTAATGTAACTATTCTGTTGGCCTGACCTGCCATGGTGGTTGGATTTAGAGAGGTTTTTCGACTTTTAAACTGTCAAAAAATAAATAAATTCAACTGACAGCCACCAGCTTGGCCAAGTTAAAAGATCAGAAAACAATCTTGGCCTTTTTTAGATGGATTGTTTTATGACAAGGCCTATTTATACCAGAGCACAATTATATGTGTATTTCCTAGCAAAAAAGGATTTACCAGCTTGAAAATCCTCCAGCTTAATACTTACAGGGAAATTTCTTCTTGCCTTTCATTTTTGGTTGAAGTACCTGTTTAAAATTAAAGATTCTTCATTGGCATTAAGTGTATGGTTCCACAAAGAACTTATACTATCCCACCGTTTACTACCATTGAACAATTTAATTTCCCCCTAAAATATTTAAATTTTTAAAAATGTTCTTTATTCTTATAAAAAAAAGGTATTTTAAGAAATGTTCACTGAAGAGTTCTTTAGGAAACCCAAAATGGATCACTGCGAAACTCTTTATGAAACTTATATTATTAATAGCGTTGAGTGTGTTGTGACATCCTAAACCAGCTAAGTCCATCTTTAAGAGGCTCTCTTTTTTTTTCAGCACTCCCCAGCTGTTTCAACACTATTAAAACAGAACCCTTGATTTATTCTGCTGATTTACTCATTAAAGTGATCCTTGTTGTTCAGCGCAGTTATGTAATCCAAATGACTTTCTCCCTACAGCATGCCTGACTGCTTACCAGCTCTAAATCTGACTTTGACAGTCTTCTGCCCATGAACGGGGACCCTATGGCCTCCCTACACGTCGAAAACCGGATCCTATTAATACATGGAACATCCAAACGCAGCCTCCACACACAAATAGATGAACATGCCTCCATTCTTTCACATGCTCACAATTGCCTAAACTTAGGCGAAAGTCGCTGTCCTCCTACAGATGCTTGTTATCTGGATAAGCCGGATGTCTTTACAGCATTACTGAAAGGTGACTCAGAAACTTCCTTAGATCAAGACCATTTTAGGCCCAGACTAAGCTCGGCCCATTCTAGGACATGAGTGGGTGAGACAGACAAGGAATACCATTCCTCATCAGCTTCAGAGTATTTGGAAGAGGACCTCAGACTGATTTATTGATTGCATGAGATCATCCTTCAGGAGAACCCAGTGTTTTGGTGAACATTGTTAACGGGTGTTTCACAGAATGTTCTTGTGATTTACATGCACAAACACTCTTCTGTGAGGAATACTACCAAACTAGAGTTATGTTTTAATCAATTCATGATCTCTAATTAAATAAAAAGACAGTTCCTGCCTCAGCTGCCAGGTCTAATAGCTGGAGCTGAAACGGGGATTCAGTTAAGGAACAGAGAGACAGTGCTGTCATAAAGCTATTCTTGGGTCACCGCTATTTATAGTTTAAAAATAATGACCATCATAACTAAAAGAGAAGAGCAGGACTGAGAGAGAGAGTACGATGTTAATGGCATGCTTCAACTAAGTACTTCAGACCACTTTCTTTTTGTTTTGGTCTTTGAATTCATAACTCGTAACAAAATTAGGAGAGTGTATTCAGAATATAAGGAGAGCAAGAATAATTCTAACTAATACAGCACCTTGTTGCCATGTCAGTTGGAACAAACAATATAGCTTACAATTATTTTCCACCAACAGTCAAGTGTGTAGACCTTTTTGACTGTACTTGTCTATCTGTGCGCAATGTCTGTTTTTCTTAACGTATATATTGTCTTTTACATATTTATTGTGTTTTGCGTATTACTGTCAACAGTGCTAATAGTATATTGTTTGTTTTTTGGAGTATGTTGTTGTATTTTGCACTGTCTGGAGACAGTACCTAAGTATTTCACTCATCATAGCACACATACTGGTGATCATGTGGAAATAAAAGTTATTTGATATGAAAATAAAATCAACCTCCGCTTCAAACAGTTTCCATTCAAACAGAAAGTTGTCATAAAATCTAAATAACTACTTACTAGGTGCATGTCTATAAACTTGAAACACTGAAATTGATTTTAAGAATATAAAAAACAACTAACTGCTGTCATAAGTTTCACTTGTAAGATAAAAAAACTAATTTTAACCTAATTTTAATTACGAGAATTGTGGATTACTGTAATGGACTCTACACCGGCCTTCCCAAAAAGAAAGTCAGAAAGTTGCAGCTCATCCAGTACGCTGCAGCCCCAGACTCTGACCAGAACCAGAAAATCAGAGCACATCACACCTGTCCTCAGGTCTTTATATTGGCTCCCAGTTACATACATAATATATTTTAAAGTATTATTACTTGTCTATAAATAACTAAATGGCCAAGCACCTCAATACATTACAGATCTGCTCACTGAATACAAACTTAACAGATCACTCAGATCTTTAGGATAAAATAAATTTGAAATTCCAAGAGTTCATTCAAAGCAGGGTGAATCAGCCATCAGCTACTGCGCCCCCGCTGCTGGAATCAGCTTCCAGAAATGATCAGATGTGCTCCAACATTAGACACATTAAAATCAAGAATGAAAACACATTTATTTAGCCGTGCCTTTACTGAATGAGCACTGTGCTTCGTCCAACAGCTCACACTATTGTGTCTTTCTTTTCCTTTTCATTCTTTTATAACCTATTGTAACACATTTTAATCTGTTTTTATTCGTTTTAATAATTTTTGCTTGTCTCTTTTATTCCTATTTATATAAAACACTTTGAATTGCCACTGTGTATGAAATGTCCTACATAAATAAACTTGCCATGCTTTGATTTAAAAACAGGTTTGGAAAGGTATGACAGTAAGTAAATGATGAAAAAAACTTACATTTTTGGGTAAACAATCCCTATAAGGCAGCTTTAAAATCCTTAATTTATTAACTCACCTTTCGGGAGTCTCTTCTGCGGCCATTATTACAGTAGTGCCTGAACTGTAAAAGATCAGTTTTGTCAAACACAATCAACTTTTACGGTTATTTAAACCGACAGAGAACATAACACAAGGCCCATTGGGTTCGTAGGTTGTTCATTTGTGCGTGAGATGACAAAGACACAATTAAATGACACTGCACCACACATGCAGCCCACTGAGGGAGGACAGGAACTTCACACTGTATCAATGATATCAGCACAACCCTGCGGGAGGAAAGAGAGCTGTGCTGGGGAATTAACAGTTTATGTAGCTAAAAATGTGCTTTGTGATTGTTGTCGCAGCCAGCAGGCCAGCCCCGGTGGGAGGAACGCAGATGCCTTCTGTCAGCAACTCTGCACTGTAATATGGGGCTTTCAAACACAAAGATTCAGTTTAAGATGCCACCTAAACTAAAACGTTAGACATTAAGACAAATGCATCCTTTGGGACCATAAGGAGAGCTTGACATCTATTTCTTGCTAGCTTCCAAAAGTGTAGCAGAGCAAACCTTAAATCCTGCCTCTGGAGGATCAATGCCCTGCAGATTTTTGCTCCATCCAGCTTCAATCCACTTGCCTGGAAGATTCTACGAAGTCTAAAGAGCTTAATTAGCTAGTTTAGGGGTGTTTAATTAGGGTTAGGCCTGATCTCTGCAGGAAGTGATTCTCCAGAAACAAGTCTCGACACCCCTGGTGAAGAGTGTGCAGGAGTATATTCAAAGACCAAAATAAGAAAATATGTTATCCATTTAACACGCTGGGTTACGTCCAACCAAAGTCCATTGGAGGGATGAGGTGGGGGGTTACTAGTAAAATGCCTGAATTACACACAATTCTAGATTTCTACAGCCTTTCCAGTTTTAAAGGTGACATTTTCAAGAGAAAATAGGTTAATAAAAATTACAAAATCATGCTTCAACGATATTGTTCATTGTTTTATACACCGTTTTGAGAAATGTAATGGTACCAGCGTACTTTGTTTTACATTTTTAATTTCTATAGCTTCAACAAATCCAAAAAGAGCCACATATTGATAAATAATGTTATGATAGCTGTTTTACCATTACGTAAGTTATGATTGAATTCCCTTGTTACAGTTATGAAATAGTGTTAATAACAAGCAGGAAATGTTTATGGGCCGATGACATGACCACATTGAAATGGTCTTTAATTAAA